TGCACAGTGAACCAACCTTAAGTCCTGTAAGTTCGGCTATGTTGAGCGCCTGGGTCTCTTTGGGCGCTCGTTTCAGTTTTAGGTCGATTTCACCATCCAGATTGGAAGTCTGTAATCGAATATGTGGAAAGAGATACAGTGATAATTGAGAATAGATGTTTTCTCGTACTAAATTGTATCTATTAATACCAACACATACACAAGGCCAGTAGGGTCAATAAAATCGCAGTATCAAGTTGCATCAACGGAAGAACCATTTCTCAGACTCCTTGGAGTGGTTTGCGCATTGGATGATTTTTTTCCTCGTCTACCGTGTATCACACATTAGATCATAGTACGATCATGCGTGGTTAGGTGAATTGCAGTTTCTACTTAGATACATGACAAGCAGAACGAGAAGCAAACGAACGATAGAGCCTGAAGAAGTGCCGAGATAGGTGGTGATGACCGAACATCCATCGATTGACATTTGCGGAAATGTGAAATGAGAAGAGCCGCATATTAAGCAAAACAACTACAAAAAAATCGAATGTCTGCCTCGAGTGTGAGTCAGCAACCTCTGTAAGGGGGGGGGGCATACTTAAGCACACGTGAGAATCAACATAAACGGTGAATACATACCTATTTATGTATGTGTAAAATCAATCTATATTCACCTACATACACTGGCATGCCACCCATTTAACAGACATACATCCCTCTGCATCTCTGCAATAGTCCATGAATCGTACATACAGTGCCGTGCGTGCACATATGCATATTTACAGTAATGTTCATGTACTCTCGTCTTGCAATATAATATCTGACACACGCCATTAATATATACCTGTACAAATGCGCACCCTTTTGGATCGCTCGAGGACAGCAGCACCAGATCGCAGGGACATTGGTCTTCACTCTCTAGATACACCATGTCCCCCAGTCCAATGTCTTTGGACCGGACCTTTTTTGTAAAAGTACAGGAATTGTGAGATGCTAACTGAGGGAAATTAATCACTGGTGGATGTGTTGTATATATGGGTTACCAGTGGTGCTAGATGGTATAAATGGGTTGTGCGACAAAATGCGTGTGAAAATATACGCAGCAAGTACTTCGTTCTATACTTGTGCGATTGAGGGTGCAGAGAGTGTGGGTGGGAGGTGTCTGCCCTATCGATAAACATGGTTTTGTATCCGAAAAGTAACTCACCTCGGCGGTGACTCCGTTCTTGGTGACTGAGTATACGCGGTTGTTTACTTCGTTATCGAATTTGTGTCGCTTGATATCGTCCAGGAGCTCTTTCACGGCCGAGATCTACGCACAGTTGGGAATACGAAAAACATGCGATACGCAGGTACAAGGCAGGAGAACCAGATCAGAAGTAGATAATCGGAGGCAAATGAAAAAGAGCAGGGCATAGGGTTTTAGATTAGATTGATACGAAATATGAGCAGATAAAAGACAATACACGGTCAGGCACTCCCAAATTTAAGGTCAGACACAGTCAATAGGGTCAGACAAATTTAGGACGATATCAAAAGTGGCCAAATCGGCATCGGACACCACCAGGATACATGGCCAGCACTACGACAGTCAAAAAAGTACAATTGATCATGGTTCCATGCGGGTGCGAACTGAGACAATGTACAATCGTGCAAACAGTATGTTAACTGCAATAGGAATGTGCAAGGCATGACAAGGTTTATGGTTTTCACTAACAATAAAAGCATTTACAGCAATTCTGAGCAGCTACTATAGCATAGTAAAGTTTACGCAATGTGGCTTACAGCGTACCCCTATGCTTACTTCGACATTTGCATGGAGAAGAAACTATCTCATAGAGGAAGGTAAGAGAGCTTTGTATGCCATGCACAAGATATCGACTGGGACAGGCCTATTGGAGCTATTTCAAGAACTCCCCGAGAGAGCAGAAAGTGAAACATACGACATGACACGCGTACCAGTACGATGAATATGAGTGGTAACCATGACGACAAAGGATTCACGGGGGTAATAGCTCGAATCAGCTGTAGACAAGATATCAGCAGGAAGTACTGGTTCATGGGTCGTCTGTATAATTTAAATATCAAGTCAAAAAATGAGAATAATTCGCACAGACGACCAAACAGAAATTGTAGTACGAAGTGCGGTGAATGGCCTGAATGTTCATATATTACAGAATTCAATATCTGCACCGTTGGTACTGCCACATTCTAACAGTAGGTCGACTGAACTACTATGGAATACAAGCTGCACCGACATTCAATGAATTCACCATGAAATTTATTTCCTTCCTCCATAAACGATACTACCGCGTATAACTACCTGAATTGCTCCATAAGATTCTTGGGTAGAAATGTCCACTTGGTATACTTCGAATTGCGTACACGGTTAGTGTTCTTCAACGGCCTCCCCTTGCTATCTACCTCACTTTCGTTGGTCTTGATCACCCGAAATTGCACTTCATCATCAGACTGTGCTGTCTGTAAACAGGTAAGTACAAATTTTGTCCGTATATATATGTATATATATATATATATATATCCATTTATGTATAAATGTATGTATGTATGTATGTATAAATGTATGTATGTATATATATATATATATGTGTGTGTGTGTGTGTGTGTGTGTGTGTGTGTGTGTGTGTGTGTGTGTGTGTGTGTGTGTGT